TTGCACGTGCCCCTCTCCTCTTGTTTTCAGTCCATTGTCTTTCCCACGTCTTGTTCCTGTCTTAGGTCCTGTCCACGGCAAGTAGTTTGGAAACTGTGTTATGTGCAGACGAAGCCAGCTCTGTAAATGTATTTTTGAATTTTGCATATCCAACTTATGCAAAATTAAAAAATCCAATCTTCAGTACAGTGTAGTGTAATGTGCATTCCAGGCCTGATGGAGGCGCTGTGAGGCTGCAACAGACAGGGAGCACTAATTCAGACAAGAAATACGCAACACATCATGCTAAAAATCCCTCTTTACCCCCTCTAAGAATAAACATGGTTACAGGTGCGATCGCTGCTGCCTTGCCTTCATTTCTCGACAGATGTATTTTCTTCATGACACGTGTGGGAGCGGAGGAGCAACAGCAAACAAGCAGTAAACACGTGGACGGTGACTTTCATGTTTAGACTTGGGACAAACACAAGAGAAGAGATTCAAGTGATCGGCTGTTAGAGGTCACGAGATCTATATTGTTTGGACTGGGGCATATCTGTACGTTGGTGTTTTTGTTGTGACAAGTCATATAAACGGCTCTGTCTGTCTGTAGGCACCAAAACAGTATATGAATAAAACAAGCTAAAAAAAGTACTAGAAACCCTTTTGAAACTAATCAACAAAAGCAGCTTCAATAAAAAGTGCAAGATCAGCCATTTTTGATGATTTCACTGATTCTCAAGAACCACAGAATATTATTTCCTAAGACTATGTGAAATACAAAACCAGATTCTGAACGACTGGATCGTCTACTTTCATCCGCAAAAATATGTTTGTTTCCAGCTATTTTTGTTCTCCTGTAATCCCCAGTCGAATAGAGGGTCTTGAACAAATACGGCGATGGCAGTCAATGAGTTAAAGTGCTTCAAACTGATAACAGCTCGTGGAAAGAGGCTGTTAGCATCTCGAGATAACCTGCATCTCAGGCCCAGTTTATACGGAGGCGCTGCGCAGACGTTTCCAAGCTTTTAACAGAAACGACCAGGCTCCTTATGCAAATTTCACAGCGTTCATACGAGGATCAAAAACGATGTAGTTCTAGCGCCCGGCCAGTAGTGGGCAGAGGAACTTTACAACACAGCAGAATACTCACTTCCTCTGCGAGACGTGAAAGAATGCATCAACATTATTCTGCATTTTAACAGCAGCTGCGAAAATGAAAACTGAAACTAGAGCTTCGCGCGGTCTCGTTTGGACAAACGAAGGAGTAGAATCGTCCTCTGTGTAGCGCTCGAAGCACACGTAGATAGTTAGTTTACCTGCCGCCATTGTTGTTTACGTTTGTTCTCGGCTACATCGCATATCCAAATTTACGTGCGGGGAACAGCGGGGAGGTGGGGGTCAGAGCAGCAGCAGAGAATTCAAACCTTTTTCCTTACGTGGGTGTGAAAGAGAGCCCCCTCTGAGCAGCTTATATGAGCTGTCCCAATCTGCAGGCTGAATCTGAACTCTTACGTTTTCACCCCCTGGAAAACAGTCTCTGTATGAACGGGGGTAGTTTACTGCAGCAGCATCTCCGTATAAACTGGGCCTCAGTGACCGATATCTTTTGTCAGAGGGAAGAAGCAGGAACACAGGGGTCATTGGAGAAGAGTCATTAGTTTTTGACAAACATCATAATTCAGGTCAGTACAGCACACAGAGCTGCAGCAGTGATGTCGTCATGTAGAATAAACTTTCTCTGGATCAGGCTTTATTTTTGTAAATTTTTTGTACCCAGATTATATTATAGCGACGGTGCCAAACAAAAATATAAACTTAAAAGATTAAAACTTTTTATCTGCAGTTTTGCACTTGGGTCCTTCTTCCTTTTGATTTTGTGACAGGTGTATCTTAAGCTGTTACATTTTACCTGTATTTTAATTAGGCCATTTTATTTCTTAATTCTATGCACACTGTAAACCTGCAGTCACTTTGGATGAAAATGTACTAGTAACTATGTCCATGTCAAATAAATGAATAAATCTGTGGCCTGTGACCCTGCGGCTTAAATGATGATAAAATAGTGCATGTTCAACAGCAAACAGACTGTTTCAAAATTCCCCAAATTCTCAGCTGTGTTGACCTTCATATTGTATTCATCAAACACTTTCAAATCATTTCAATACCCACATATTTAATCTCATAACCTCAGGATCGAGCCTGTTTCTACTATGAGCTATTCATAGTCTTTGAAAGAACCAAGCACAAAATCCCTGCATCATATCTAAAGACAACTGTAAATGTAATAGACATGTCACAGTTCATGTGGATCATTACAGAGATATACATACACCACGTCAAAACACATGCATTTTGACAGTTGTGACAGAGGCCAAATCAATCAAAATCTCTCCTTCCCTCGAGCTCCACTGGTGGTGTCATGACTCGATAATGGGAGAGTCATCTGCTCGTCTTTCTCACCAGCTCAAATATAGCATCTGACACAAAGACACACAATGATCTACACAATGTAAAACTGTCCAATATGTCTGTCTTCAAGCGTTATCTCCTCAGCGGGTGAATAAAGTTTTTCCTTAAGCTCAATAAAAAAAATTAAATAATCCACAACCAACAATGAAAAATCAGTACCCTGGTCACATATACTCCAGTCCAGAGGGGTAGTGTGTTGCTGAAAGACATCAATATTATACAAAAAAAATAGTCTTGCTTCTTCATCCTGCTAAAGTTGGAGATTTTATTTCCTTATAAGATACAGATTTCATACTGCTTCTTTTTATGTATGTTGTATGCTCCTCATTCCTACCGTGTTACTTGTGATGCAACTCTAAAATGTCTCCACTGTGGGACTAATAAAGGAACCTCTTAATATTAGAGATTTTTTCCCAAATTTTAGGAAAGAACCCTTTATAAATCTCTCTTGTCTTATTTGACGTGCGCGTATCACCAGAATGATTGACAATTAGCAGGGCCAATAGTCATGATAATCCACCCAGAAGGAGAAAATCCTCCTATATACCTTTTAATGTTTAAAATGTAAATAATAAATTAATGATATTTCCAAGACCACATACAAATAATCCATCCATCTTCTACCCTTTAATCCATTTCTGGGTCAGGGGGGTGGCAGTCAGAGATGCCACCCAAGTCTCATAGCACCAGCCCCTCACTGACCCTCTGCAGGTGGTGAGTCCACAGGAGGACGGCTGCTCTCTGAGTGTGAGCATAGCCTTGATCTTTCAGTGGGGGCTTTGGGCAAAGTGGGGTTAAGTGTCTTGCCCAAGGACACAACGACAGCAGTCATCAGTGGGAGTCGGTGGAGAAGGTGCAGAGGTGGGAATTGAACCCACGACCTTCTGGCCTTAAGGCCAATGCTCTACCAACTGAGCTACTGTCGCCCCAGTATACAAATAATCAATGTATTATTATCTCATAGCTTGTTATTTGTACATTTCACTTGCACATATGGCTATCAATGGGAGCGTTAGTCTTCTGTATACAGGCTATTACTGGATGTATCTTGCTGGGAGGATTTTTGTATTTGAATGGACGCCATAGGAATTGGTCTTTCCTCCCCGTGGTATAGTGAAAGTGTAAAAGTCTATTCTGGAAGCACTGTTTGTTTGTGTTGTCAATGTGTTCGTGATTTTGGAGCTCTCTCTCTCTGGCACAGGGATTTCCTTTGGGATTAGTGAAGTTATATCAAAGCAAAATCAAGCAAAGACCTCAAAAGAACCTGCTTACATTTGCACACGACTATGATGTCATTTATTTTCATTATTTATACTTTTTTTTATTAAGCTAAAGATAGAGATTTAATTACATTCTTAAAATTCCCTTATCTTGTGGTGTGTGCTCCTCATCCCTACTGTTCTGTAACTAGTGATGCAACACTGACATTTCCCCACTGCGGCAAAAGCAAAGGATCACTTAATCTCAATATGAATTTATTTCATTTCAATTTTAATGAAGTTTTATCTATTTATGTATTAATTTGAACAGTATTAATGCTGCACAAAAGGAGTGGGCTGAAGCAAAAAGCGTATTAGCACCGCGCCCCCAAAGTCAATTACAATAAAACTTTACATACTATAATGAAAATAGTACAAAACAAAGATATAAAGGCACACAAAAGAGCTACATCTGCACATGAGTAATAGAATAATCAACAATCAATTTACAGAGTAAAGAATATGTCATGACATTGACTTTGACTTCACTGACCAGAGAGAGACCAGAGAGAGACCAGACAGAGACCAAAAAGACTCACTGACAACAGGACAAAATATATTTTAAGTTTATGTTTCAAGGCAGTTTTAGTAACACTAATTTGAACTGCATCTTATAACAGAGTGAGACACAACAACAGTCTGGGTAAGACAGATCTCCACAACGCAAGAGACACAATATCACAATATAATTATTTTAGATATACTGACAACAAGTTACTGAGCACTGATTAAACCCATTTCGCACAAAAAAGAAATGTTGCCGCTAGAAAGCAGAGTATTTTCTACAGAGTATAGGCAGTAACCCTGTGTAGTGTTGTGCGATAAAAAGCCAGGGTGAAAAGCCAGTTGGAGACGGCAGTGACTCCTGTCATGTTTCACTGACATTTCCACACTACTAATACAAGTTATCTGCACTTATCTTACTTGAGAATTATGTTCCATTTGACATAGATGACCTGCAATTCAAACATCTTTAAAGTATATAGAAATGCTCAAATATTGTCTATTTTGTCTCCCGTGAATTCACAATGCCATTACGAGGACGATCTGATGCCCCCATGGTATTTACCAAGGTCATCATAAGCCACTATACGCGCCTCTCTACAAAAGCACACGGGAATTGAAATGCATAAAAAGTCGAATCCATTTTTCATGTGTCACTACATTACAGTCTTTCTGGTATACAGACCCTGCACGGTGCCCAGGTGAATGTTGCGTGCGTGTGCGTGTTGGTGTGCGCAGTCACGGAGCATTCCCCCCCTGCGCGCCACTATCCATCTTTCCACTCACCTCTTTGCAGGCTCCGATTCTGCCTCTCACTCTCTCTGGTCTCGTTGCAAGTATCCCGGGCCCTCAGGTGCTGCGAGATGATAGCGCAGTCCGGATGGATCGCCTCCACCTGCGTACATCCCCAAAACTATATAATTAGACGTAGGGGAGAAAAACAAAACAAAAAAACAATAAATAAAACAGCAAAAAAAGAAAAATTGGAGCAATCCGTGCGTAAAAGGCGCATTATCCAAAACAATATTGTGAAGATGGACAACTTTCATCTGTAATTGAGGCGCATTTTCTCTGTCTAAAATAAGCATGGAAGTAAAGTGGCCCAAATGGAGCGACTTCAAACGTTTTCATCTTTTTTTTTTTTTGGTCGGCAATGCTCTGAGGAGAAGAAATCATAACATTTGATGCGCTGATGTTGAAAAGATAAACCTGAAACATGTCACTCCAGTACGCAAAGCAAACTTTATACCAGTACACGGATTAAAACACACATACCATGAGTCCAAAGCACGTGTATAAACAAATGATGTAGATTTGTTCATGTCTTTTCTTGGTAGTTTCCATCTTCTAGAACGTGAGCCGATAAAGACACAATGTCGCGTGCGTTTAAAAAAGAAAAAAAAGAAAGAAAGATCCAGTTTAGGTTTTCCTTTGGGTCCTGGGAGGCTGAGCGGACTGGCTCCAGCAGCTGTAAGCTTCGCTCTTTCTGCTTAAAATAGATAAGCGCGCGTCTCTGTGCCTTCTGCGAGCAAACTTCATGTCGCCTCCTCCCTCATCCACATCCTCCCCTCTCTCTCTCTCTCTTTCTCTCTCTCTCTTTCTCTCTCTCTCTCTCTCTCTCTCTCTCTCTCCCTCTGAGCGAGTTCAATGAAATCGGAGGTTCATTCACATATTCTCCGTCCTGCTAAAGGGTCTTGGTTATGGATGTTCGTATACAGATGTGGAGTGTGGAAAAACCATCGAGCCCATTTTCCATATTGGTCAAACATACAGAGATGGGGTTCATTGATCTCCTATTCAAAAGTGCAGAATTGATTGAACCGCATCCTTGTAGGATAAAGTAACTGACAAAGTAAGTAAGTAAGTACTTACTTACTTACTTACTTTTAATTGACCAAGCAGTAGATTGATTTTTTGTTTCTTTATATTGTTGCAAAAACGATGTGGCATTTGTAAATTGTTTTTGTTTTAATTTTGATAATAATAATAACAAGAAGAAGAAGAAGAGGAAGAAAAATAGACCCCTGAGAGTATAGCCACTGTATGTTTCAGTAGCTAATGGGGATAAAATAAAAACTTGCAAACAAACAAAAGTGGGTGGGGATTGGGGGTGGATGAACACATGCATTTAGTCAATCAAAGAAATGCATGCACTAAGCACTAAGGCATCCCTGGTTGATTGATTGGTCGAGTAAAAAGAGGGCGTGGCAAAAATGATCAACCACTGACCCCTTGCATGTGACGTCACGGCCACGCCCACTCTCCATGACAGACGGCAGAACGGACACCTGACCAAAACAACCTGTTTCAGCGCATTACAGCCAAAACTGTGACATTTTGCAGCGCGGTTGATAACAGGCAAGGACATAAGCTTTTTTATCTGATACCTGCTCGTCATGAAGACAGAAGACGACGATGGCCAGCGGCAATCAACCAAAAGGACTGGGACCCATCCAAGTACTCCCTAATATGCAGTGAACACTTTTTCAAGATAAAGCAATCACAAGTTTGTATTTATTTTATTTCCATTAATTTGGAGGACAATGACACACGTCAAACGTGTCTCTTACTACTGTCCTGTATGTGCGCCGCAACATTGACATTTTTATCTTTTAAGTCAATTGCGTGTTTCACTATTTTCCTCTCCGTCAGTTCGTATCATGTTTGGCTGTAGACAGAAAAGCCACAGAAAAGTGTTAACGATAATAATAAAGATCATGTAGGGTGAATTCGGGCAAAAATAGACATTTTATTTAATTGATAAAATTGACTGGGGGGAGAAGGTACAGGTCAACATCGAGTTAGGCGATCCTTAACTTCTCCAAATACCACTCTTTGTGAGCCCTGACCTGATGTCCTACTTCCACCTATAACGTAATCGAACATGTGCTTGAAGCAGCCACTTCTCGATTTAAGAGAGGAAGCTCCTTTTTTGGAGTTGTAGTCCGTTTTGCTCTCGCAGCAATGCTAGTTTCCAATACTTCCGCCGTAAGCTCATTCACAATCACGTGACTGGATGACGTTGATGCATCTGGTCAATAAGCAACTTCAAAACAATATTCATATTCATAAAAAGGTGGTTAAAATAGATCAATACTACATAATCTGCTAGTTCATCGTATCGTATTATTTCTCAAATACAGTATATTCTTATCCTGCATATATCAGAATTAATTGACTAAAACATATTTTTTTATCAACTACAAGATCATTGACTGAATAATGGACTAAAGAGGTAAACAATGACAGTCCTATTTGAGTTTTCTGATATTGATAGATTTTTATTTTTATTATTAGTTGGCCAAGTTTAGATAATATTTACAAGTTCAACATTAATTGTGGGTGACCCTTACAAAAGGAAGAGACAATACATGGACAAGAACAATACATAAACAGTCCATCATCATACGAGACTTCTGCCGTCACCATAGTCGTAATGTGGAAGAGGCCGAGCTGGTGTCCTTATATGGGCATGTTTGTTCTGACAGCATTTGCTTTTACGGCCTAATGGGGCCAGACATATTGCTAACATCGTTGCTAAGCAGGGTGGAGTTTCCGCCGCAAATTAAGACATCTGAAGGCAAGCCAAGGCAAGGCAAGTTAATTGTATAGCACAATTCATACACAAGGCAACTCAAAGTGCTGATTGATCAATACATGTCACCCCCTGCTGAACACGCTGTCTGCTCTGGAGTGCAGCTTCAGTGACAGACGAATTCACCCTCGCTGTGTGAAGGAGAGATTCCGCAGGTCTTTCCTTCCTGCTGCGGCAATGTTCAATACTGCAATTTTGGATGTTATTTTTTTACTTATCCTGCCCTATGTGTATATAACTCTATCTATAATAATGTTTCGAAAGATTGATACTGAAACATTTACAGCTTGCTACAAAACATAGCAGCTACTTACAATGCATATTTTGTGTGCTCCCTGATGCTGTTTCTACTGTCCTGCATGTGTGCTGCAACATTGAAATTTCCCTACTGTGAGACGAGTAAAGGACATTTGTCATCTCTTATCTGTATTTTCAAAGACAATATCAACGCATACACACCAGGATCATAGAGAACGCTAAACAGCAGATTTCTCGAGCCCAAAATGTTGAGTGTGACACATGTTTAGAAGAGTTTACTTTGCAATGTACAGTAAGTCAAAAGGAGCAAGAGTGAACTGGAGAAAAGGCTCATGGTCAAGTTTTTCTCCAGCTCACTCTTCCTTTTGACTTCCATAATAGACTCCATTGAACTAGCGGGTTAGCATTGTCATCTTTGTACAGTCTGTGTCCGTGATCAACAGAACAAGGACATACACAAGTAACAATATATCGACAGTCAGTCATTGCATCACATGAACAAACGCACACATACTCAGGCACAAGAGACATATTGTGGAAATATTGCACACGTGGAAAGTGAATGAGAAAACTACTATAGTTGAACTGATTCAAGCCATCAGAGAGACTTCTGATCCCTGCCATTTCTCAACAACAGAATCCACTAAGTGCACCTTTATGCCCACTGTACTGAGTCACTCTGTCAAACAAGCTCTATGCTGGTGAGAAACCCCAGCAGACAATACACTCGGGAAGTATTGAGGCAGACATAAAACGGAATAATAGTGCAGGCCTATTTGACAATATCCAGATTTTTACAAGTTACAAAAGAGATTAAGAAATTATTCATTCATTCCACGGTGGGGATATTGCAGATCCCTCCGATTTGTGAAAGATTAATTCATTCTGGTTACAATGTGCTTTGGATATATTCTAATTGATTCATCACTCAATAGTTTCTTGCGGAAACTGAATGTTTTAAGTTGGTAATTTTTTGTAATGGGTTTCTATGGATTTTAAAAAGACATAAAAACAGGAACTGTAGGGCGTGGGATTTGAGACTGACAAGACTTTAATCCATCTTTTCACTGATGATACGCATAATCCTTTTGTTTTTTAAGCGTATGCCAATGCACTACACCTTTTTAGCTATGTTGCCCATGCAGGGAATGTCTAATGCATAATATACACCAAATATTTGATCTCATGCGTAGAACTAGGCCAACACACTCCAGCAAATATAGGGGATTAAACAAAAAGAAGTTTGCAATAAGACCATATTACTTTCATAAGGGTTGCCCATTTTTATAGCAACGTAGACAATATTTCATCCACCCTCTCTTCAATAACCCAGAGAGATTTGTCTGAGAAATCAAGTTCAAGTTATCTTTATTGTTCTACTGGGGGAAATTGGTTTTGCAGCAAACAATCATCTAAAAACAGGCAGACACAGTAAAATCACAACATTGAATGTTGTTGTGAGAATGTCGAAAATGTTGCTGTAATGGGTCGATTATCCATGGAAAGCCTTTTTCATCACTGTTTGTCAGTCCATTCATTTTTTCATGTGGTTTATTTATGTATAATGATAATGCACAACTACATTATGCAAAAAGCAGAGATGCTCTCAGCCACGGCACCAGATGTCACATGTGTTCCTTGGGGCCAAACTTAGACAAACCTTATGGGAAATGACTTTGACACATAACTTCAACTGATTGCACATAATATGGCATTTTCAAAACATTAGAAATAAGTATATAATTATTATCATTACTATTTATAATAAACACTTTGATATTTAGATACAATAAGGTGCAGTATCTGGAGAATGCCCTGCCCTATAAGGATGATCAGTCTACATCATAAACACGCCACATAAACACATCATTGAACTGAAGGCTACAACCTGCTTTGACAATTGCAAAAAAAGCATAAGTTTTTAGTAGATGTCCGGCTCTTGAAGTTTGGCCCATTGTGTCTGGTCATCAAGAAGTGTCCCATTCACGGACATTAACAATGACAATGTTAATTTTGTGGTGAGTTTTTCAACCACAGTGCCATGGCATGTTAATTTCTTTAAACATATGAAGAATATAATGTTTCTCTCTGAGCCTGTTTGATGTTCAATATATTTGACAATAATTACTTTGCATTGTTACATGTAATTAAAACTACTGAGTTGCAATTTGTAACATTTTCAGCTGGTGGTGTGCCACAGAATTGTATTTAATGTAAAAGGTCTATGGCCACGTGTCAAAAAGGACTAAGAACACTGAGCTAAACAGCCACTGTTCATCAAGACAATAACATCTGATCGTAGGCGAGGGCAGGGCTCTTTCTGCAAACTGGTTGCACATGCATCTGGCTTTGTTTACCAACAGAAAATGGTCTATAGACATTTCGATTTAAACAAAATCATATTTGAGGGTGCTTTGACCATAAGGGGAGCTGCAGCACCGAGCCCCTACCTCTGGATGCTTGTCCATGGATAAGTTACAATAACCAGACA